CGCGGCGTCGGGAATCGGAGCCGGTCGCCGGGGGGGCGCTTGTGGCCGCCGCAGCTCCTCGGAATGCGATGCGGCACGTTGCTTTGCAAGGGGCCTCGAGGCGCGGGGGGTCTGAAGATTTTCCGGAGGCGCGCGAGACGCGGAGCAGTGACAGCCCGTGCGTCTCCATCGCCTTCTCATTTCATCCGCCCCTTCGCGCGCAGTCATGCCTCCTGCTGCTAGCGAGCGTCTGGGTGGCTTCGTGTCAGAGGAAAGAGAACAAACAACAACAACATGCAAATGGAAGGTTCTTCCAGATTGGGGATCCCAAGAATATTTAGATGCTTACGCAACCGCATAGTGAAGGAACGTTCTGCTTACGGGGGGGGGGGGGGGGAACAAGCTCGCCAACGCACCTTTGGGGCCCTCCGAGCCTCCCAAATCCACAACCCGTTGTCTCCAAACCTCCCAGATGCCCAGGATGCCTTCTAAGATGTCTCCACAAGGGCTCCAACACGCTGGACAGGCCTCAGGAACACCCAACATGGCCTCAGGCCGGCCCAAGACGCCCCCACGACGCCACAAGAGGGCCCCAAGATGAGGTTCAAGAGTGCCTCAAGGTTGACTCGCGTTCACGCCCAATCTAGGCTCTTGAACATCTTCGCGTTCTCGTCATGTCGGGCCTCTGAAAGCTCAAGACATCCCGCGATGCCCCCCCAGACTGGTCCTACACGGCCCAAGAAACCCAAGAGACGGCCGAATAGGGCCCCAAGACGACTCAAAAGGTCCCCAGCACGAACCTTCAAGAGGGACCCAAGAGGAGCTCAATGGAGGCCCCGGAGGGGAAACTCGTAGGGGCCACAGGAGCCCTCTTCCAACACGTGGACCCCACGAGCTCCAGCATGTCCCGAAGAAGCCCCCCGAGGGCCCCCAGGGCTACCAAGAGAAACTCCCGAGAGGTCGCCCTGGGGCCTCCAAGAGGCCCACAATATGCACCGCAACGGACGTGGAGGAGGACGAGGACGACTCAGCAGCAACTGCACGAAAACAACACGACGGGACGCGGCAGACAACACTTTTTTTGATCCGCGGGTCGAGAGCGCACCTCTTCCGGTCGAAGCTAAGCGGGCCGCGCGAAGCTTGAATTAGGCAGAGATGGGGGAGGAAAAGGGGGCCTCGCGGCAAACAACACATACCGAATCGGAAACCGCACATCACCTCGTCTTGGGGGGGCGGCAGCATGGCGTACGCCTCCTGGGTATGGCTCGCGCCGAGCTCTGCTCGCTTCTGAGTTCTCTTCGTTCTCTTTCCCCGACTCGTCCCTGCAGGCAGGCTGGATGCCCGGGCCCTCCCTCCTCCCCTCAACTTGCTCCGCTCCCTCCCTGACTACATACCAGACCACCCCAACCCAACCGGAAGACCCGAATTTGACCCGAATTTCGGGTTGGGGGGGGTACGGGTTCCATGAGTTTTTTCAATGTTCCCCGACCCCCCCCACTGGAAATGGAGGGCAAATTGAAGCCTTCGGGTTGGGTTGGGGTGGTTTGGTGGGTGGTGACTCCCGCCCCCCTCCTCCACCTCATCATCCGGCGCCCCATCACATCCTTCTTCCCCCTTCTGTGAGAGACCTCGTCCTCGTCGCGCCACCACAAGGTGTCAGTGGGGCGTGTCAGATGCTTCGTCTGGTGCATCTTCCCCGTTTCCAGTCCCGAAGCTGGAATATTCCAACCGCTACACGCAGGCCGAGCGACTCGTGTTCCAATTGCCGCTGTCGTTTTAGCGCCGCGCAGAGTAGCCTTGACAGCTTCCGACATTCGCACGGATGGAGTGCGGCGAATTTTGCAAAGACGCTCTCGCCTCAGGGCCGCGCGAAGTCATTTTCAACGGTTGCAGCTATGACGCGGGTGGGAGCCGTTTCTCCCACCGCTGCTGTTCTCAACCCCTCATCATCCTCATTATCCTCCCCTTGCCCCTGCTCCCCCTGCCCCTTCCCCTCCTCCTCCTCCTCCTCCTCCTCCTCCTCCTCCTCCTCCTCCTCCTCCTCCTCCTCCTCCCCCCCTCTTTATGAATCACAGCTCCTCTTGTCGCACGGTAGGGCGAGCTGGGCGTTTCGCCAAATATGTCCACACCATGTGTGATCCTGAAGCTTCAGAAGTGCAACCGCTTCACGGATGCAGGGCGGGTGGCCTTCAACGCGTGGCTCTCGCCCGAGCGCCGCGCACATCCGTCTTCACGGGCGGACGGCTGTGCCTGTTCAACATGTTGCTCTCGCCTGAGCGCCGCGCCTGACCAGCTCATGACCGTTTCAAGGACTCTTCTAGCTGACGCCCCAGCACAAAAATGCTCGCATGATGTAAGGGATGCCAGGAGGCGACAGACACGCTGATTTGCGTTGCTGACGTCCCAGACATGGCGTTCTGGAGCGATGGAGCACCGTGGGGTCGCCTAACAATAACATTGATTCGAAGCGTTGACCGGTGATTCGGCACGGTTGCAGATTTTCAAGCGGTTCTCTTCCAACGGGGCTCGTCCCGCAGTCAAGATAAATCCCTGCAGGGGCCTAGGAAAAAAGGGAACCTGGAGTGCTTGCTTCCTGCAACTTCGTTGATACATCTTGGGTTTACAAAGGTCCTCAGCCTCCTCCTCCTCCTACTACTTCTCCTCTCCTCTTCCTCCTCCTCCTCCTCCTCCTCCTCCTCCTCCTCCTCCTACTTCTCCTTTTCGTTTTTCGCTTCTCGCAGAAATCCAGGGAGGGGGGCCCGCCGCCGCGTGCCCTCCTGCGTGCGAGCCGCGCCGGGATGCCGACGGTACATTTCCTGCTCCCCCTCCCTCGCCCTCCTCCCCCTCCTCCACCTCCGCCTCCTCCTCCCCCTGGTTCCTGGCTCCTGACGGCAAAAGGTGCCTTCAGACGCTGCCGCTTCCCCCCGGGAGGCCCGCTCGGGCCCCCCCCCATGGGGGAGCAGAGCGCGCTCGAAAAAAGACTGGGGAGACCAGGGCCCCACAGACAGGGAGGGAGGGAGGAGGAGAGACGAAGCCCCTCCCCCTTCCCGCCGTCCTCCCTGAAGGGGCCCCAGGACACACACATCAAAACATACAAATAAACAGATTCCCCATATTCTCCTCTATTTTCTGGGTTTTCGTCTTCCCCCCACTCCCCATATTTCCCCAATATTTTCCTGGGGGTCGACGATTAATTGTGTCTGTCCCCCGTGTTTTTTCCCCCCCGCCGCCCTCCCCCCCCCCCCCTCCCCCGTGCTGGCGCGTCGGGCGGTGCCGCCGCCGGGGCCCCTGCCCTCCGGAGGGCGGCCTCCGACGCCCGCGCGCTGGTCCGGGGAGCACGCGGCCGCGCCCGCAGCCCGCCGCGCGCCCCTGGTCGGAGGAGCGGGCTGGGCAGACGGGCAGATGACGATGAGGATGATGCTGATGGTGGTGATGAGGATGATGATGGTGATGGTGATGGTGATGGTGGTGGTGATGATGATGTTGATGATGATGATGATGGTGGTGATGGTGAAAATGCTGATGGTGATGGTGATGATGATGATGCTGATGCTGATGACGATGCTGTTGATGACGACGATGGTGGTGACGATGATGATGGTGATGATGCTGAGGGTGATGATGATACTGATTATGTTGATAAGGATGCTGCTGACGATGATGATGATGATGATGATGATGATGATGATGATGATGATGATGATGATGATGATGATGATGATGATGATGATGACGACGACGGTGGTGGTGGTGGTGCTGATGTTGATGAAGATGATGGTGGTGGTGATGCTGATGGTAAGCATGATGGTGATGATGATGCAATGGTGGATGCGATGGTGATGAGGATGGGGATGATGATGGTGCTGCTGTTGCTGAGGATGTAGAAGAAGATGACACGCAAGCCGCCTGTACGCCGACGTTTAGCTTGAACTGAAAAATAGATGCGGGGTGGATGGCGGGCGCCGCCGTGGCGGCGCTGACGACGACGAGCGTGCAGACGCGCTGTGCGAGAGCCTTCATCGTCACGCCAGGGCGCCCGCGCTAGTGCCGCCGGCTGTGCAGCTGCGACAGCGCGGCAAACTCCACGGGAAGAACCACTGCGCCAACGCTCAGCCGCTCGCCTGGCTCGACACTGACTTGCACGTTGGTGCCGTAGCGTTTCTCTTTGCGCCAATCGCCTGCTGCCGCCGCAGACCCTGCGACCTTCCTCGTGTCGGGCCGCGCGCCGCCCAAGAACAAGTGCACGTTGACGTCGACCCATCACGTCCGGGTGGTCGTGGGGAAGCCGACCACGAGGTCCATGACGGCCTCCCAGATCGACCCGTACGCGTACGCGTCGTAGAGCTTCGGCAACCGGCGCTCGACGTCGACGACGGCGCAAGCAGCCCGCAGCTCGTCCCCGGGGCAGTGCACCACGCCTGTGTGCGTCCGCAGGCTGGAGGCGCCGCGCGGGCACGCCAGAGCATGCGCGGCGCGCTTGCCGAGCGGCTCACCGCACTCCCGCGTGGCCCCACCACCCTCGCCGTCTACGGCGACGGATCTCTGCAGCCGGCACGCAGCGCCTCGCGGAGCCAGCACCGATTTCAAGCGGCGGCAAAACGCGACTTGCCACGTCGGCGAGCTGTCCCGCATCCGCGTCGCACGGGGCATGGCGATCCAAAGCGTCCCGTTGCCGCGCCCTGCGCGGGGCAGCATCTCAGCGCGCCGCTCCCCGTCCGCCTCGAGGCCGCGGCACAGCCGGCCCGCGCGCAACGTGTCCGTGCCGCCGAAAAGCCGGCACAGCGACCGATGATGCCAATGATGAGTACAATGAGAACGGCGACGATGATGCTGATGATGACGGTGATTATCATAATGCTGGTGATGATTGATGTTGATGGCGATGATATCGGTAATGCTGATGATGCTGGTGATGATGGGGATGAGGATGGCGATGATGACAACGAGGACGATGTTGGAGGTTGTGATGATGAACAAATATTTTGGCGATTGGAGGATGAGGGGGAGGGAGGGAAAGGGTCGCCCCTGACGCGATCGACGGTCGGGGGCGCCAAAGGGAGGGCAAGGGGGGAACATGTGCGGAAGGGACGAGGTGGGGAGGTGGATAAATTTATGTTAGCGACGAGGAGGAAAAGAAAGATCAAGAGGAGGAGGAGGAAAGGTAGGAGGGGGATACGGTTAGCGACGGGGAGGACGGGGAGTTGGTGAGGATGAGAAGAGTAGGGCGCAAGGAATCGAGGAAATTGAAAATGAATGAACAAATATGGCGTTCAACGTGCGGTTCGGCGCAGCGGACGCGCCGGATGATGAAGGATGTGGAGGAAATAATCAACCAAGTCATACACGCAAAACGATGGGAAAGACAGCTGAAGACCCGTCGCGCTTGAGGGGCGACACCTCGTTTGGATCTACGATGGGGTTCTCGCCAACGGAAGGCATGCCGGCCTTCAGCGCGGCAGCGCTCTCGGGCGAGCCGCGCGACGGCCTCCATGAACGCGTCGACGTCGCCGGGGCGGGGGCGCGGGGCGCCCCGGCGGGCCGAGCTCGCACGGGGTAGTCCCTGCGCCCCTTGTGCCGTGGTGCAACCACCGTGCTGCCGCGAGGATCGCCGAGCCAGGTTCAGGAACCAACGGGCCCACCTGCCGCGGCGAGCCTCGGCCAAGCACAGGCCCTCCGAGCCAGATCCAGGGCGCGGCCTGAAAAAACAGGGCCACCCCGACCGCGGCCCGCCCGTCGCCGAAAACGGGGCCTCGTCGTCGTCCAAGCCGCCGTCGGCGAAGCCAGCCGAGTCCGTCGTCAAGACCTCTGCTGCGAAGGCCGTTAAGGGCGAGTTCTGAAGGCCCCGCTGCGGGGGCGGCCCCAGAAGGCAACCGGCCCTCTGCGTGCCCGGCGCGACCTTCTCGCGGGGCGGGGCCCGCCCAGCGCCGAGAAGGGTCGCCCACGGCAGCGCGCCTGCCAGATGGAAGGGGCCGCATGCGCCGCGGCGTATAGGGGGAATCTTTCGAAATAGGCAAAACATAGGATGGGGACGCTTTGTAGTTTTGTTTGTTTGTTTGTTTGTGTGTTGTTTTCCATGTCTCGCCCCAAATCCACCTCTGCAGTGCGCGGTTTGAATAGGGGCCCGGTCGTTCCTTAGGCTTGCATGCGTTATTCATCGTTCCTTATGCGTTATTTGTTGTTTATCGTTGCTTATCCGCTATTCCCTGGAAAAAAGGAGGCCTTAGGAATGGCCCCCCCTATGTTTCAAGATTTGTTTCCGGAGGATCGACCGTTGTCCTCCTCCTCCTCGCTCTCCTCGCCGCCATCCTCGGCATCTTGTCGACCCCTGTGGTATTCGAGCGCAGAATTTCGTATTGCAGTCTGCTCTCGGAGGGTCAGGTTGTACAACCTGCTGCCTGATTTCATCGTTGCCGCCCCCTCTGTCAAAGACTGTCAAAGTACCTTATTATCGTTCCTTAGGTCATGCCGATGACTGTAGGAGGACGCGCCCGGCCTAACTCCGAAGCTTTCTTAGGGGCGCTCTCGGTGCGTTCCGGGCGCTCTGGGGGGCGGCCTCGGCGCCTGGCCCCTCCCGCCCTCACCTTCGGTGGAAGGTTTCTCCGAAGGGCTTGGGGCTTGGGCGCCCGCGGGAGCGCGCGCGACCGCCAGATGGAGGGGGCCGCAAGCGCCGCGGCGTCGCGCGGCAGAGGGCGCCCCCAGCGGGCCCAGCCCCCGCGGCCTGTTTGCGAGGCGGGAAGCGGTCCGTCGCCGCCGCCTTGGCGATCGCTCTTCCGTGGCCACCGAAAACCGCCCCCCCAGGCGGTGGTCGCGGACGCATCCCCGCCGCAGCTCGTTGGCCGATCCTCCCGAAAATGCCCCGTGGAGTGGCGCGGCTGGGCCGAGCCAGAAGTCGGTCGGGGTCGGAGGCGCGGGCCTCCGCGCCGGGCGCGGCGCCCCTGCCCATCTGCGCCGCCCCAGCGCCGTCGCCGGCGCGGGGCTTAGCGCGGGCCCCAAAAACTCCGCGCGGACCTCCGACGAATTGTTCTGCGTGTCTGTGTGTATGTGTGTTTCTGTGTGTTTGTGTGTGTATATGTGTTTCTTTGTGTGTGCGTGTGTGTAACAAGTGTGTGTGTGTTTGTGTGTGTGTGTGTGTATGTGCGTGCGTGTGTGTGTGTGTGTGTGTGTGTGTGTGTGTTTGCGCGTGCGCGTGCGTGTGCGCGCGCGTGAGTCATGCGTTGTTCGGTCGTTCGATGCTCCCTGCTCCGAGGCCCGCAGTTTCAGTTGCCGCCGCCGGGCGGGGGGCCGCCGATGGGGGAAGCCGCGGGCGCCGCGGCGCCGCCAAATTTCTGTCGGCGGCGGCTCGGGGCAAGACGTGATCAGGTAAGACGGGCAACTTGTCCTAGCGAACGGACCCCTAGGCAGTTGCCGGGTGCCTGCTCGCTGATGGGAAAAACGCGGGCCGAAGAAGCGCGCGCGTGTCGTGCGCCTTTTGGGCCCTCGGTAGCCGTTCAGGGGCCGTGTCGGGCCCCTCTAGGGCCGCTTTCCAGCGGCCCTCGATTCCCCCCCCGCGCCTCTTGGCCCCCCCTGGCCGCCCACCAGAAGTTGGCGTTTGGCTTAGAGGGTGGCAGGTGCCCAGCGCTGCTCTCGGACTCCCCATGCTGCGTGGCCTGCGCAGTCCATGCGCGACGCGGCCAGACCCTCGAACACTGGGCGCCGTGAAGCTGCGTGGTGCAGCGTGCCCATGGCCACCTGCGACGGCAGCGGGGGCGCGCGCTTGGCGGGCGCACTCCTGCGTTCCACAGCGGACGCCTTGGCTGCTCAGAGGTTTGCTCATGAGGACTCGTTGTGGCCGGCGCCGCGCTTCCAAGGCGCGATGACGCAGCTGGCGAGCTAACGTTTCGCCTGTGAGATTGATTGGTTCGCGCGCCTGGGTTGACGCTCTCACTGAGATGCCCAGTTGGAATCTAGCGCGGCTGTGGCAGACCTGTGCCGTGGTGCGATTGTTGGGCGTGGGGCCAGTGATGCATGCCTCTGCGGTGGCTGCCTGGATGCTGCGACAGCTCTCGCATGTCTGGGGGCCGCGTGGCAGTGATGGCTAGTGGGGATGCGCGGCTATCTCGGCCCCGCCGCCCCGCGGCGAGCCTCGCGGCGACGGCCGCCCCCGCGTCGATGCTGGCGTGCTAAACGTGTGCTATCGTGGCCGGCCCCCCTGAGGCGTGGGTGGTTCTTCCGTCGGCTCGGCTGATCGTGCAGCTCGTGGCGCAGACGCAATTGGACGCGCGTGACTTCTCCCGCCGTCACTTGTCGTCAACCAGCTGGGTACTGAGAAAGAAATTCCCGCGTTGTGCCGCAGCGCAGGTGGCCCTCGGCGCCCCCGACCTGGGCGTTGTCAAGGCGCGTTGCGGCCCCGGCGTCGGCGCAGCTCTGGTGGCGCCGATGGCTGCGTCCCAGGATGAAAGCTGGGTCGAGATTCGCAGGAAATCGCCCGAGCTGATGCCGCGCGCGAAATCGCTGTCGACGCCCATGCCATCAGCTTCTGAAGCCGCCCTCGCGTTCCCTGGCAGCGGTGGTGGCGCGGCGCGAGGTGCCCCGTCCAAGTCTGCTGCGCCCGCTCGCGACGGCGAGCCTGGCGCTGTGCATTTGCGCATCGTAGGCGGCTGCGCGGCCTGCGGGGGGCGCGCGGTGATCTGCGGTGTTCGCTCGCGTGCGACGTTGGCCCTGAGGGCCGTGGTCGGACCCTCGGCGAAGTTCCCCCGCGGGCGACTTCGCCTCGCGGGCGGCGCCGCCGCCTGCTCGCGCGGTTTCCCCCGAAGCCGCTGCCAATGCGCGGGGCGTGTCAACTCGCCGGTCGTCGGGGGCCCCGAGTTGCCTGGCCGGTTGGGCGGTGGCGCCCGCGTTGTAGTTTGGTGACATCGCGGTTAATTCGCGGGCCCCCTGGGGCCCGCTCTCGGGCGCGGCGATGGGGCCCCGGCCCGGATAGCTGCCGGCGGCCCCAGGGCTGGCCGGCCTTTCGGCGCCGCTGTCCCGAGGATTCGGGGGGCGGGCCCCGAGCGCAGCGGCAGTGCTGACCGTTGTGACCCTGGCGAGGGCGGCGGCGTTGAAGGCCAGAAGGCGGCGGTGGGGCGGCAGGCGCGTCGCGGCGCCCGTGGCTCTGCGCGGTCGCGAGTGATGCTGCTGACCGAAACGCGCGGGCCGAGTCGGCCATCGGCCGCGTGTCTTCCGGCGTCGGCAGCGCGGCGGCGCGGCTGGGCCCTGGCCGCGGCGCGGCGGGCGCTCTGGCGACCGCAAGTGGGCCGGCGTCCTCGGAGCTGCCGATGGGGCCCCAAGCCTGCGTTGATTCTTATGTCGCTGCACCTTCTAGAAAGGCTGCGCGTCGATCTGAGCCGGGGGCAAGCCCCTGATATGTTCCGGCGAGTGGCCAACAGCGCCCCCCCAGGTCTGAACTGGCATGTGAATCGGCACCGCCGAGGTACTCCAACCGAGAGCCCCATCAGCGAGCTGCCGCGCGGCGCCCGGGAAGGCGGCCCGCGGCTGCGAGGCGCTCGGCTGAAAGCTGCTCGGCCGTGGAGAGGCGTATCAGACGCGTGGAGTGGCGGCGGCGCTCGCGGCTCGAGGGTCAAGCCCTTGTCAGTGTCAAGGGTCCGCGGCGCGCTCGCCTTATCGTTGTGAATGTGATCTGTGTTGGTCCTGGGTCATGCCTGCGAAACCTCCGAAGGTGGGAGGTGAACGCAAGGCGCTTGCGATGTTGTTGGGTGCGTGCTCGACAATGCGCCCCGCTCGCCTGAGCGTGGTCGTGGGATTGTTGAACTCAGGCTCTCTCGCTGGGTATGGGTTGCTTCGGGGCTGGAGCAGAATCGTGAATTTGCTGGCCATTGCGCCGACCGCTCGGAGTAGCGGCCAGCTGTAGCCTTCCAGCGACTTTGCAGCTTTACCATTGAGTGGGCCGCTCGGAATCGCAGTGCGACGAACTGCGAGAGCAGCAAGTTGGTGGTTTCGTTGCGTCGCCTCGAGAAACCGAAGGGCTCATGATTGGCCTGTCGGAGTGGCTCTTCGCCGGAGGGGCCGAACTGGGTGGCGAAGTTCGCAAGAGGGTCGGCGACGGCGTCCTCCATTTGGCCCTTGGCCATGCCACCCTCAGTCATCTCCGCGAAGTTCACGGAGCGAGCTAATTCCGGGCGGCGCCACCAAAGTTCAAGATGATGGCGGCGCGTGGCTGGGCACTACCAGAAATAGCAAAAACGATCCGCGCGAGCAAATCCTGGACCCAGTGACGGAATGGGTAATTCGACGGACTCGCGTTCAGGCGACTAGGCAAATAGCTCACAAAAAGTGCCCCAACTGTTTCCACGTGCGCCTCCGGTTGTCCGGTTTTTCCATGTATCATGCAAGGGAACAAAAGCAAGAGCGCCACGAAGGGGATGATGCTGTTGCTGCCCCATGGCGCCAATGCGCAGACCATCCTCTGAGCGACTCCACCACGAAAAAAACTGCGCAGGCGCCTTGGGGCTCGGCCCTGCACACGTTCGAACGCCAACGTGAAGTTTGGGATCGCCGTAGTAGTGCTGATGACGCTGGCTGGGGCCGAGGATGGTGAAACAGGTGCATGAATGAGCTGTGCGTCACTCGGGTTGCGCAGCATGGCTACTACGATTTAAGCCAAAACCACTGCGCACAACCCCAATCCTTGTTCTGGCCCAGTCATCCGGCACAACGCGACGAACGCCCCGCGACCAATACTAATGTGATGGTGGCGTGGGGTCCCAGGCGTCGTGGCCCCTCCGGGGGTGGAATTCCTCCACGTGCGCGACTGTTGCCCACGCAGCCGGGGTCACACGGGGTCCTTCACGGTCGGACGTCTGCCTCATCGTGCCCGTGAGCGCCCGTGGCGAAGTGCCCGAAGGGTTGCAGAGCAACCGTAAGGACTGGTTGTTCAGGAGCTGGTAGGGAAGTGCGGTTGTGCGTCCACGTCGCACGTTGCGCAACTTCCATGGATCGCAGACTGGGATCGCTCCAGGCTGCGGTGCCAACTAGCATTGCGGGGGTTGGTTGAAGCAGAGGATATGCCAGTGTAGTAGGCACCGGATGTGAGTCTCGAAAGAGCATGTCGCGCTGGCGCTGAGTCAGATGGTCACCAAACATCCGATTCGTGTGATGATGAGGAGGAGGAGCATGAACAGGAGGAGGAAAAGGAGGGGGAGGAGGAGGAGGAGGAAGAGGAGAAGGAGGAGGAGGTCGTCTCCTCCTCCTCCTCCTCCTCCTCCTCCTCCTCCTCCTCCTCCCTCTTCCTCCTCCCTCCCTCCTCTTTCTCTCTCCTCCCTCCTGCTCCCCTCCCTCCTCCGGCGCGAACCTCGTCGCCGTCGCCGTCGCCGCCATCGTCCTCCTCGTCGTCGTCGTCGGCCTGAGCAGCGCGGAGACGCCGCCGTGGCCGCCGTGGGCCGCCAGGTGCTCCGGGAGGAGGCCCCAGCGATTGCGCCTCGCGGGGTCGGCGCGGAGCCGGAGGAGCGTCCTGCACGCCACGGCCTGGCCGCTCCTTTCGGGAACATGGGAACACGGGGCGAAGAAGGAGGAGGAGGAGGTGGAGGAGGACGAGGAGGGGGAGGAGGGGGGGGAGGAGGAGGAGGAGGAGGGGAGGAGTGGGAGAGATGATGATGATGATGAGGAGGAGGAGGAGGAGGAGGAAGGAGGAGGAGGAGGAGGAGGGAGGATGATGATGATGATGATGATGATTGATGATGATGATGATGATGATGAGGAGGAGGAGGAGGAGGAGGAGGAGGAGGAGGAGGCGGAACGCGAGGGGGAGAAGTCGAGTGGAGGGGGATGGTGGGGCGGGAGGAGAAGGGGAGGGGCGGGAGTGTGAGGAGCAAGGGAGTGAGACGGCGGGGCGAGGTGAGGGAGAGAAGGTGAAAGGGGAGGGCGGCGTGGGGGGGAAAAGGACGAGGACGAGAGAGAAGAAACGAGGAGGGGGATGAGAGGGAGGAGGGGGGAGGGATGAGGGAGGAGGCACAAGGGCAGCAAGGGTATCGAAGAGAAAGGGGAGGGTGAAGACGAGGCGGAAAACGTGCTACAAAGGCCACGCACTCCTGCAGTTGTCAAAGCGATCGGCGTGGCTCCCCTTCATCCTCCTCCGCCCCCCTCCTCCTCCGCCCCCCTCCTCCTCCTCCTCCTCCTCCTCCTCCTCCTCCTTGTTCTCCTCCTCCTCCTCCTCCTTGTTCTCCTCCTCCTCCTCCTCCTCCTTGTTCTCCTCCTCCTCCTCCTCCTCCTCCTCCTCCTCCTCCTCAGGACTCAGCAGCAAAGAACATGGTCCCTTGTGAACGCAAGAAAGGAAACTACATTCAGCCAGTACGAACTGGCCTGGTGTGTCGTTACAGTGGCCTGCGTACGGGAACGTAGAATAAAACCAAGGTCTCTGGAAGTCTCCTGGGGTGCTCAAAAGTCTCTGGATGTCACCGGAGACTCTGGCGGCACCCAGAAATTTCCTGGACGTCCAGAAATGCTGAACAATCGTGCGAACTCCTATGTGGTCCTCCTCCCCTGCTTTGAATTCGCCTGCAGGATGTAATAAAAGCTAACCATGACGCCTCGCTACTTCGTGGCGTCACCTCGTTTTGCCTTGACCCGCATGGCTACATACGGAGGGGGGTAATGGTGAGGAGCCAGCGTAGAGGGCAGAACAACTACCCTCACATTCAGCAAGCAACCCGTGCAAGCAAAACACCGTAATTCGCAAAGGCAGCTGTGCCAGCTTCCGGCGAGCTTCCGCCGGCTTCCGCTGGCGGAGGCGGCCTCGTTTTACTTCCGCCGCCTTCCGCCGAGGAAGAGATGGCAACTCCTTCGATCTTCGGTGGCGGGGACCCTCTAGGAACGCTCCATGTGGCAAAAGGCATCCTTGGGGCGCTCGGAGTGGCTCTTCCTCCCCTGCCGGTGCTCTGCCGAAGCCTGGGGGCGACCCGCTCCTCGCGCAGCGGTGGAGAGGCGTGTCCTCCCGGAGGTCCCCGTCGTTAAGCTGCGCCTGGCAGCCCCGCGAAGCTCCGCAGCACTCCAGCCACCTCGCGGCCGCCGCGGGTGCACTGCCGAGCACGGTGCCCCGTGGCTGCTGGGCCGTCTCGCGCTCGAGGGCTGTCTTGGGCGGCGCGCCCGGGGGGGAAGTGAGAAGGGGCGGGCCCTCTCCGAAGGCTCGGAAGTCCCCAGGCCTTCTGAGAAGTTTTCTGCGCCTTCCCCTACGGCGCAGAACACTTCTCAGAATGCGCGAGGGTTTCTGATAAGTCCCGTCGCCTTCTGAGAAGGCCTTGTCCTTCTCGCTTCCCCCCCTCGCTTGCCGCCGAGCACTGCCGAGCACGGTGCCCCGTGGCTGCTGGACCGTCTTGCGCTCGAGGGCTGTCTGCAACATGCCCAGAAAGACCCGCGCAGCACGGACGCGCTCACCAAGCAGGCACCACCACCGGTGCAAAGACGTGCGCACGAACTGTGTGTGTGTGTGTGCGTGTGATTTAGGTGGGGCATGTCCTCCAACAGGCGGATTTTGAAAGAAAAACGAAGAATAGTCAACGAAGGCTCACCAATAATCAGCAATCGTCGCGAAATCGTCCCCGTGCTATTGTTCGACTATTCTTGAATATTCCTCCTGTAGGGGACATGCCCGACTTGCGTGTAGTTGCGGCGCTGCGAGCTGAGGGCCGAGGCGAGAGGAGGCGAGGCGCGCCATCGGCACGCCTCCCCGCCCAGCCGCGCGATGCAGCCTCTCGCACGCAAGGGGCGCCTGTTGGCGGCGCGCACAAGGATCACTGCACCGACCTTGCAGACGTGCTGCAGCGGATTTTTGCGTGGATTGCTGTCAATGCACAAACCCCAAAACGGCGAGCGAAAAACGAAGTGAATTTCACGTGGATTTGTTATAGTCTTCATTCCTGCCCCCCGAAAAAAACCCGCACGAAATTCATTGTGAAATCCCGAACAAAATTCTCCAAGACAATCTGGGCCATCCCAATGTTTTCCGAACGAAATCCGCTCTGCGATGTTGGTGCCATGACAAGGGGGTAGGGGGAGAGTGGAAGGCTTCTTAGAAGGAGGCTGCTTCTTAGAAAGCTTCGGCCGTGCATCTATAGAACAGGCCCGCACCTTCTAAGAAGCAAGGGTGCTTCTAAGAAGCCTTCTCCCCTCCCGCTACCCCTCTCTGCGCATGGCCGAGCCTGCGCAGAAGGATTCCGATCTACAGAGCAGCGCGTGCTTCGCTGCAGCGCGTGCCGCCGCGAGTGCGATCTGGCCGGCGCGGCGTGCTAATTATGAGCTGCGCGCGCTCTGTACGCTTCACGGGCTTACGCATGCACGTGTCCCTTGTGCTGTCCAGCCCTCTGGATCCTCCATCCTGCAGCTGTCCCGACGTCAGGCGTCGTGAACTAATCAAAACGTAGTGGAAACATCGCGACTGGAAGCCCCCATCTCAGTGCACCACTTCTCGAGCCAGAGGCCACCGAGGCACCGATGCTCCGAAACGGATCAGAAGCTCGGCCGCCGTGCCATGGTTTTCATTCAAAATGCCCAAATGTCGGCGGAGGAAAACGAAACTCCGCTCATAACCTGTCCCTGGACCCTCCAGGGTTCTGCGCCCAGCCGTGGCGACGAGGTATAAGGTCATCAAGCGAACAGCGGGGAATAGGGATGATGATGAGACGAGCACGCCATGCGATAGCACACCATCGATCATACGAGACGAACGCGGTATGGGATATCAGTTCCAGCCACACGAGATGAGCACGCCCTGCGATCACATTCCGCCACATCGGGCAAGCTTGCCATGGGCATGGGATGAGCTGGCCAAGCCGCTGCGAAGGCAGCAGCCCACCAGACGTTGCCCTGCTCGGCCGCGGCGTGAACGCCCCCGGCCGGCGCCGCCGGCGCCAGCTGCGAGGAGCCCCCTGGAGCTGGGGCGGGGGGGGGGGGCTGCCGCGTGGATCTCGGGCGACGAGGGCACTGAAGGATCGTGCGCGCATCGCAAACGATGATGGTGGTGATGACGATGACGATGACGATGGCGATGACCCCACAATGCTGACGGCAACGAGCATCCGACTACAGGCGGCGACCGCGCCGCAGCTGCGACAGGAGGAGGATGAGCACGAGGAAGAGGAGGAGGAAGAGGAGGAGGAGGAGGAGGAGGAGGAGGAGGAGGAGGAGGAGGAGGAGGAGGAGCATAGCGTAGCATAGAAGGAGGAGACGGAGGAAGACGAGGAGGAGGAGGAGGAGGAGGAGGAGGAGGAGGAGGAGGAGGAGGAGGAGAGGAGGAGGAGGAGGAGGAAGAAGAGAAAGATTGGGGAAGGAGCGTCGGAGCAGGGCGAGTTGAGACAACGGCAGATCAAAATCGGTCCCTGAACCCCTCGCACTTTCCAAACGCACCAATTTTCCGAGCTGCGTCCAACCGTGGCGACGAGGGGGCTTCCCACATGCCAACCACCGTTGTCTCACCTCGCCCTCCTCCAATGAGAGCGTTGCCTCTCCCAGGAGGACGGCGTGGAAGCTGAATACCGCCCGCCCGTCTCGGGAAGCCCAGACAGCGCGCCCGAATGCGCCAGCGGCGGGGTGCGATGACGATGGCGATGATGATGACGATGCCCATGTCGAAGCCGATGATGATGATGATGCTGCTGCTGCTGCTGATGATGATGATGATGATGATGATGATGATGATTCTGGTGATGACGAGGATGATGATGACTATGCTGATGATGATGATGATGCTACTGGTGATGGTGAGATGGTGATGATGACGCTGATGATGTTGATGTTGATGATGGTGGCGATGCTGATAATAATTATGATACGTGCTGATGACGATGCTTCTGCTGCTGCTGACGATGCCGATGTCGAAGCCGATCATGATGTTGATGATGCTGATGATGATGATGGTGATGATGATGGTGGTGGTTATGATGGTGATGATGATGGTGATGCTGATGCTGCTGATGATGATGATGGTGATGCTGATGCTGCTGCTGATGATGATGATGATAGTGGTGGTTATGATGATGACGATGATGATGATGATGATGATGATGATGATGATGATGATGATGATGATGATGATGGCCGTGGCGATGCTGCTGATGATGCTGACACCGATGATGATGGCGATGCTGATGCTGATGTTGATGCGGTTGATGGTGATGGTGGGGATGACGACCGATTTGCTTGTGTAGTTCAGCCATGTGAGGTGTTTCCGAACGGTCGTGTCGGCATTTACCTCAACTGCTGCGTCTTACTGAGAAGACTGCAGACGGCTGGCGACATTTCGATCCCTGGTGGCCACGCCCGCCAGGGCAAAGAGAGGCATGACATCATCAACTGTCGTGCGCTTGCCTGCGATCGAATTGCTTGCGCTGAGAAGCCAGGTGTGCTCCAGCAGCGCTTCGGCTGCTGGTAACTCTGCATGTATAACTGTCTCTCTGGGGAGAAGGGTTTCGCCTCGACGAAGGCAGCGCCTTCGTGCCAGTGAGAGAATGAGCAACGCTGTTCCAACCATCGATCACCAGATTTCACTTACGACCTCCAGCAACACGAATCCATGAACATGTCTTTCTCTCTTGTCCATAATGGGGCGCACGAGCCGCCATCGAGCCGTTGATCCAGCTGATAGCAACTGCGTCATCGCCAGAGAATCCACGAGCTTAAGATGACGTCGCCAATGCACTTCCTCTTCTACACATACGCGTTTGCGTGACCTCCAAGCATTCGCTGCATCCTCTCGCCTCTTCTTCGCCTTCGTGCGCTCGACGAGGGGAAGTTAACCCGTCAATTTTCATGTGTCCAAGACACAAACCCTGGCATCCGCCAGGCTCTTCGCTGCCTTTCCAGTCCGTTGCATTCCACGCTTGGCTTAGCCATGTCCGAACGTTTGATGAGGGGGTCTCCCCACGTAGCTCTGCGCTCCTATCTGGGTCTGTGCCTTCATTGAAGGCGGGTAAACTTCGCGAGCGTACGCTCGCGCTTAACGACACTGCCGAGCTGCTGCATACACTGCATCTGCCAGCCTCTTGATGATGATGGTGGTGGTGATGGTGATGGTGATGGTGATGATGATGCTGATGATGATGATAATGATGATGATGGTGATGATGATGATGCTGATGGTGGTGATGGTGATGGTGATGGTGATGATGCTGATGCTGCTGATGGTGACGCTGCTGCTGATGATCATGCTGGTGATGATGATGAGGAGGAGGAGGAGGAGGAGGAGGAGTTGGAGGAGGAGGAGGATCATGAGATGGAGGAGGACGAGGAGGAGGATAAGAAGTCCACATCCCATACCTCAGGCTGCTACACCTCCTCCTCCTCCTGCTCCTCCTGGCCTGGTCGTGGTGTTCCTCTTCCTGGTGCTCGTCGCCCTCCATGTCCTCGTCCTCGTCAATGTGCTCCTCCTCTTCCTCCTCCTGATGCTCGTCGTTGTCCTCCTTCTCGTCGCCGTCGTCCTCCTCCTCCTCCTCTTTTGCTGCGGCCTCCTGCAACCGGCCCGCAGTGCCACCAGTTTTGTTGCCTCGCGCCCGATCATGAGCCCCAGTCAGGGGAGGCTGACGGGGATGGCACGGGGATTGCACAAGGGGGAGGTGAGCTCGCTCGCTCAACGGGTGATGAACCACGACACCAAGCAATCGAGGTCTGGGCAGAACACGGCCTCTGGGGGCGTGTGCGTCCAGGCCAGCACGTCTGGGAGGCGATGGTAGAAGTCTGTCTCCTCGTACATCGACCTGCTCTCCTCCGCGAGGAAGACCTTTGAGAAGCGGAGCATGTACGCGTCGTCCAGCTTCAGGTCCAACAGCCCAGGCGATGGAAGGCTGGTCAGATGCACGGAGCCGCCGCTCAGGCCAAGTCCCGCGCAGATCACCGAGCCGGACCTCTGGATATTGCACTGGTAGGAGTTGTACGGGTCGCGGCCCAACGCGCAAATCTTGGAGTACGCCGCCAAGGCGACGGCGGCAGCGGTGTACGGCTCCTGCAGCTCGTCGCTGCTAGTGAAGGGCACCATCAGCGTCAGCTCGCAGACCTGGTCGTCGGTCTCGCTGCAGCTCGGCAAATCCTGAAAATTGTTGGCAAGATAGTTGCATATCGCAATCGCGGCCAGCCGCATGTTGGCGTCCCTGGTGTCCGTGGCGTAGTTGGTCTGCGATCGCAGCCTGAGCTTGCAGGATGGCTCTGGTAGCATTGTCGAACCCGCGAACACGTAGCCGTCGTCCTTCTTCACCGGCGCGTACGTGTCGGTGGCCTCCACCGACGTCGCCTGCTCTCCGCTGTAGGAGCTGTAGTACAGGGAGAAGACTTTTCCAACGGCAGGGTCCACGTTGTGCATTCCGGGACCGTACTTTGCCCTCGCGGATGCCTTTAGAGGACTTCCAAAATGGGGTCCGAGTAGATGGGGTCGGAAGATCACGCCACATCGGCAACATCGGCAGTGCATCGGCGCCGTCGGCACGGAGAAAATCAGCCGACCCTGTTGGCGTATGTGAAGGGCTTGTCTGTTCGAGTCGTCGTCTCCGTCGTCCCCTTCCCCTGCGCCGTAGTCCTTAAGCCTGTCAGCAGAGGAACATCTAGCAATAGCGATGTCCTAATTGATTCGAAGGGAAGCCCCTTCCCTTTGATCCCTCCCCCGTTGGGGAGGGGGGGGAGGGGGTCAGATACGCATCCCCACCTGGGGGAGGCCCAGGCATCAGAACATACCAAGACAGGACAAGAGTGCCCCAAGAGGCCCTCGAAAGGGTCCAAGAGGGTGCCCAATCGCCAAACGATCGGTCAAAAACGCCTTCACGCCCTCCAGACTGCCCAGGAGGCCTCCACGACGCCCCAAGAAGCCTCCAGGAGCACTCCTGAGAGGGCCCCAAGAGGCAATCATGATTTATTTCCATTGATTCTGGATTTCCCTTTGGCTTTTTACAAGTTTGGGAGTTCTCACTGTTTCGGCTTCTCGCCGCTCCACGACGGCCCAAGAGGCCACCAAGATCGCCCGATGATGCCTCCAAGAGAGCCTCCTTACAACACAGAAGTACCCTGAGACAACCCAAAACGCCTCCAAGACGGCCCTAAGAGGCCCCCAAGACGGCTCCAAGAGCGTGCCCAGACGGGGTACCTGAACGGACATTTCGAGCCCTCGGCCCCGAGAGGCTCCCAGGAGGCCCCAAGAGGTGCCCAAGAGGCCCCAAGAGGTCCACAAGAGGTCCCCAGAACGCCCGAAGAGGCTCCCAAGAGGCTCCCAAGAGGCCCCCAAGCAGCTCCCCAAAGGCCCCACAATTCCCCCCCAGAGGCCCCCGAAAGCCTTCTGACGAGACCCCAAGAAGCATCCCTGAGGACTCTGGCCCACTTCAGCGTCGTCGTCGCCCCCGCCGCTGCCGTCGTCGTCGTCGTCGTCGTCGTCGTCGTCGTCGTCGTCGTCGTCGTCGTCGTCTTCGTCGTCGTCGTCGTCGTCGTCGTCGTCGTCGTCGTCGTCGTCGTCGTCGTCGTCCCCCTCCAGGGTCGGTGGCGCCGGCCGTACGGCCTTCGCAAATCGGGCTCCACATCGAGCCGCATCTCGGCGGCGAGCGAGGGGGGAAGTGAGAAGGAGAAGGCCTTCCCAGAGGGCTCGGAACTCCCCCCGCCCTGTGATAATTTCTGTAAGACTTCCCCGAAGACACAGAACACTTCCCAGAAGGCCGGAGGACTTCTGAGAAGTCCCGCCGCCTTCTGAGAAGGCCTCCTTCTCACTTTCCCCCCCTCGCTCGCCGCCGAGCATCGCCGATGCCTCGGCGATGCGGCGCGATCCTCCGACCCCCTTCTGCTCGAAGCCCCTCTGGGAAGCCGAGGCCTTGCCGCGGCCATGCCGTGCCGCGTCCTGGCCCGCCGCGGTCCGGAGGCCCCAGTCCTGCGGGACCAGCTTTCCACCACCACTGCCATGGGCAGGGCGGGGGAGAAGGGAAGATGGGGAGGTCCTCTTCCTCCTCCTCCTTCTTCGCCTCCTCCTCCTCCTCCTCCTCCTCCTCTTCCGCCCCCTCCTCCTCCTCCTCCTCCTCCTCCTCCTCCTCCTCCTCCTCCTCCTCTCTCCTCCTCCTCCCTCTCCCCCTCCTCCTCCTCCTCCTCCTCCTCCTCCTCCTCCTCCTCCTCCTCCTCCCTCCTCCTCCTGCTCCTCGTCCTCCTCGTCCTCCTCCTCCTCCTCCCTCCTCCTCCTCCTCTTCCCCTCCTCCTCCTCCTCCTCCTCCTCCTCCCTCCTCCTCCGCCTCCTCCTTCCTCCTCCTCCTCCTCCTCCTCCTCCCACTCCCCCTCCTCCTTCTCCTCCTCCTCCTCCTCCTCCTGCCCCTCCTCCTCCTCCTCCTCCTCCTCCTCCTCCTCCTCCTCCTCCTCCTCCTCCCTCCTCCTCCTCCCTCCTCCTCCTCCTCTCGCCTCCCCCTCCCCCTCCTGCTCCTCCCCCTCCCCCTCCTCCCTTTCCAATCTGTGGTAGTGATGGTGAAACATCGGCCCATCAAGTCCTGCAGGGACGCGTTCGCCCGCGCCGCCGCGGCCGAGGAGCTGTGCAAGGCGAGGCTGCCGCGCCCGTAGTCTGCACTCTCGGGCCGCCGCGCGACGTCCTGGCTGATGGCCGCGCGCGTGCCCCAGTCCTCGTGGGCGGAGAGCTCGGGTGTTGCTAGAAGTGCCCCTGGCCCAGGGTGCCCCCAGCTTGTCGCTGCATTTTGGAGCCCAGGAGGCCCTCTGGGCATCGTGAGGGGTGCTCTGGAGGCCGTCTGGGCCCCCCGGAGGAACCCCTGGGGGCACCTTGGGCCAGGGGCACTTCTCTCGCAACAACCGCAGGCCACGTCCCTGTCCGCGGCCTCGCGGGCCGGGCCCCTGCGCCGCGACCCCGCGGGCACGGGGCGCTCGTCTCGCGGAGGCCCCCCCCGCGCGGAGCGCCTCCGTGCGACCGCGCACAGTCCACCCGTTATCATGAGGATGCGCGGCAAGAAGGCGAGGGCCTTGGAGGGCCCAGTGGACCTTCCTCGAACGAGGCTGGCCAGGGAGAGTCGCAATGCGGAAGGGCCGACGGGGCAAGGATGCAAAAGGGTCCCCCTTGGAAAGGGCTGCGCACCCTTACCGTGCGGGCCGGCCGTGTCCACGGGGCCGCGCCCCGGAGGAGTCCAGAGACCGCGAGGGCGCGGAGACACAGTCGGGGCGTGGACCCAAGGAACCCTAAGCAAGGAACGAGGCCCCCGGGGAACGATGAAGGAACCCTAAATAAGGAACCCAAGGAACCCTAAATAAGGAACCCAAGGAACCCTAAATAAGGAACCCAAGGAACCCTAAATAAGTTGCAATTCGGTATTCCATCGGGAACTTAAGGAAAACCTGAGGCCAACCGCAAAACAACGAATAAGGAGCACTGAGCCCCTCCCACACGCCAAAGGGTTCCTTCCTCAGCGCCCCGACTGTGCCGCGGCAGAGGTCCGGCAGCCGCGCGCCCGGCGGCTCCGCCGCGGCCGCGCGGCGGAGCTCCGCGCCCCCCGCGGCCGCCACCAGCCCCAGCAGGCAGGCCGCGCGGGCGGCCTGCCGGCGGCGCGTTATGTCGCTGCGCATGGCGCGCAGGCGCTCCCCGACGATCGGGGAGACGTAAGACTCGGGTACGGGGGACGCGGGTTGGCCTGACGGGGTCCATCACAAAAATGACGAGACGCAATCTGAAATTTGACGCGAGCTCCCGCTGCAAACATCCCACGAAAACTGGACCGTCAAAATCCAGGACGCGCTCGTAAAAAAACGTCGGCAAACCCGAATTCCAGCTTACCCGAGTCACGAGTCTTACGTTCCCCCGAGACGGGCGGCCGGGTTAGAGCTGCATTCGGTCCCGGGGGAGGGAGGCGCCGGCAGCGCACTGGCGCCCAGACTTGAGCCCGAAGGGGACGACGATGCAACACGGGTCTCACGCGAGTGTCGGCGCAGACGACCCCGTTCTCTTGTGTGGCTCAAATGGGTACGGGGGAAGCTCGCCATCTCTCGGAGGTCCCTTCCCCGTGCGTTTTTGGGCTTCGTGCGCGTGTACACCTGGAAATAGGATCCCGAAAACTATCAGCTACGAGATCTGGGCCAGCTTCCGGGAAGTTTCTTAGAACAAGTTCTTAGAACAAGCCCGAGCCAATTTCTTAAGAAACGCTGGCCCAGCTTTTCGGGAGGAGGTGCCTTAATCAGATGCTCGACTGTACTCTCTCGCTAGATGACTCAACAGGCTCCTCGATGGTCCTCGCTGAGGAAGAATGCGCACGTCCGAGCGGTGCCAAGGAAGGGTGGGGGAGGGGCAGTCAAGGGTGAGGGGGAGCGCGGAGGAGAGGGGAGGGACATGGGACGGGGGAGAGGGGGGAGGCGCGGAGGGGCGGAGAGGCGAGAGTGGGTGGGGAGGAGCAGGGGGAGGGGAGAGTGCAGGAGAGGGTAAGGGGATGGGGAGAGGAGGGTGGGAGGGGGATGGGACGAGGGGGGGCAGGGGAGGAGGGACTCGTGGAGGAGAGGGATGACGCGAGGGAGGCGAAGGGATACAGGGGAGGATCTGGGCGACGGCTCCGGGAAGGG